TAAATTGATTCAAGGTGGGAGATCTTTTTCCATTTGAATTTTATCGGATAATTTTATAAATTGTTGGACTTTTTTTCTTAGTAAAAGAAAGTGTTTTGTAATGTTCAAAAAAAAAAAAAGAAGAAAGTGTTTTGTAGTTACCGAAGTGATTGTATAGTAAGATATTAATTATTGCATAAAATCAAACTATTTTTTTATCAGCAAAAACCCATACTTTGCCCCTCAACTTTTTAAGCTTGAGGCAAAATGCCCTCCACCTTTCAATGTATGAATATTTGCCCTTCACCTTAAATAATTTGAGTAAATGAGGATAATATTAACGTCCTTCCCATTACCCTCCATTTCCAAATTACACATCAGTACCACCTAGACACTACTTTTACACTTCAACATTGCCAACGATGCCACATGTATAAATACGTGGGTTCCACTTTAATTTGTACCATTTGAATAAAAATTTTAAAAACAAAACAATTAATCCTTGCCTATATTTAATTTTTTTAGAGCATATTATTAATTATAAAATTAAAATAATTAAATTTTAAAAGTCGACATCGTCAATGCCCGATAGTTACAATCCAGAACATAACGTGGAGACCACTTCCCTCGCAGAAAACTACCAACACTGATTGACACTTCAAAGCAGTAGGAAAAAACATTGTTTCCCTATTTGAGCCTGATCCATGGATACGTGCTAGAACTGTCTTCAGGTCAATGCTCTTAAATAGCCGGTTGAGTACAAGAGCACCAACCACTGTGCAGCACTCCCACTAACGAGTTAGGTTAGGAATGGAACAGTGGGAAACAAAAGAAAAAGATGAGTATGCACCCAAAGGTAGTCATTGACATCGTCAAACCCCAAAAGGCAGATCTAGGACAAGCCAAGAGAACTAATTTCCCCACTGGAACCTATGAAAATCAATCGGCGCTTCGAAGCAGTGAAAAACAAATCATTGCTTCTCCAAATCTGTTCTCTAGGCACTTGCCAGTGTAGGGTGTCTCCCTTCCACCACAAGGTTAAGGCAGGAAAGTAACAGCAAGAGGAGAACAGAAGAGGACAGGGAAAAACCAAAAAGCCGATGCGAGGGAAAAATGGATTTTCAGTTTTTCTATGCTTAAAGGGAATATATGACATTTTGCCTAGAGGATCTAATCTACACCATTTATTCTTTTCCATAGCCATTAGCCACTACTCAACCTTCGCCATTCAGATTCTTTTTTTTTGGATTTCTTCTAAAAAAAGGCTGCTGACCCTAACCTCTCTTTGTAATTTTTCTCCTCTGGTCATTCTACGATCCTATTTAGATTCGAATCTAAAATCTTTCTCTTTCATTGATCACCAACTTCAACCTCACATCATTGTCCTTTGTCGAACAAATAAAGATCAATCCACAACCCTCCTTTCAATCTAACGCACAACCTCCATCCAATTTGAGTTCAATGGCAACAATGGACAACAATGGAGAAAGGTTAGGGTTCGACATCGTTTGAATCTTTCGATCTAGATTCCAACATCACAGAGCATGCTTCTATTTCTCACTATATTTTGCCCCAACTTATGGTTTTGATTCTGAGTGGTAATGGCTTTTCAAGGAGGATATCCACAACTATGGGTTAGGGATTTTATTTAAAGAAATTGAAGACTTTTTCATTGTTCTCCTTCTCTCACTAATTTTGTAAATGGAAGAAGATGATAAGTTTCTCTTATTTTGGTAAATGGATTCGTGTTTTTTGTGCAAGAAAAATAGAATAATTTTAATTTGTTGGCCAAAGAAAGGAATAATTTGGGAAATAAATAGAGATTGAAGGTAGAGAAGAAGATGAAAGGGTAAATATGTAATTTAAGTACTTTATTTCTTAAAATTGTAATTAGATAATCAAGACCTATTACAATGTAAAAAAATTAAGGTTTGCTCATATAGCCAATCATCATGTGTCATGTTATTAATAACTTTTTATATTGATTTTAAAATGAGATCCGCATGGTTTGTGAGCTGCCCACATTTTTAAAATCAATGTCTAGGCGGCACTAAGGTGTAATTGGGAAACGAAGGGTAACGGGAGGACGTTACTATTTTCCTCATTTACTCAAATTATTTAAGGTGAAGGGCAAAGATTCATACATTGTAAGATGGAGGGCATTTTGCCTCAATCTCAAAAAGTTGAGGGGCAAAGTATTGGTTTTTGCCTTTGCTTTATCTTCTTTCTGTTTCTGTATAATACGAAACGGTTTTGAGCTTGGATTTGTATAAAATAAATTCTACTACAACCTAACTCCTCTGACTAAATGAATTTTTTAGAGACCGTACACCATAATTGTTATTGTGGTTTTCTGCTTTGAATAATAATAATAATTATTATTTTTTAATATGAATAGAAGATTTAAATCTCAAACTTTAACTTATATAAAAATACCTTTACAATAAAATAGGTGGTCACTAAACCCATGAGGATCTCTCCTTTTTATGTTCTATTTAGTTGTTTTAACTTTTAAATGAATTATCTCACTTTTCATTTTAAAAATGCATTAAATACTACTCTACTGAGAACATTTTGATTTTACTTAATCTCATTTTAATTAATTTCTATAAGTTTAATTATGGTTTTGCCCTTTCATTCTTATAATATGTGAAAGGTTAAAAATGTATTTTGAATGGCTTGTCAGCTGTTTTAACTCCATTAGGTCCATCTAAGCTGCCGTTAGTATCGAGTCAGCACTCTGGTTGATGGCGGTTGACGGAAGGGACCACGCCTGGCATCTTTACCAAAGTTCAGGGATTTTTATGAATTCTTTCTTGGTATAAGGATGATAATGAACATTTTTGATAAGTTTAGGGGTTTTTAATGGCTTTAAGCTTAAGATAAAATTGATAATTAACTAAATCAAAGATAAGTGGGAGTACCAATTTTAATTTTCGGAGTAATTTTAGCTTTATGTTATATGTTCGTAGTATTTAAATTTTGACTTCGACCATAAAAAACTATTTAATTTTTTTTTTAGTTGCATAATAAAAGACAATCATCTCTCATCCCTTACCTCACTCCACTCACATACCATGCAACTCAAACTCATGACTTTTTACTTTCAAAAGAAAGAGATAACCACTGAATTATTTAATTCATTGGCAACTATTTAAATTTTTGACAAGCAAAATAAAAAATGAAGAACCGTAACACTACTAAATAGCTGATAAAATGAACCGGGCCTTTAGGCCCAATGGTTCGACCCCAAGTTTTAAGTGCTTGGGTGAGGTAGTCAGAGTTTCGAGTTCTACTACCATTATAAACTCCACCAAAAGTTGGTTTGATGGCCGCGTGCCTCATTTGAAGGAGTGGAATGTTCACCCGGTCTGAGGATTGAATCCCCAGTTGCTAACAACTAATTCATACTAACTTCTTAACTATCACCCTTGTAAAAAAAAAAAAAAAACTAATAAAATGGATCCTTAACATTACCCTCTAACAAATGCATTGGTTTTTTTCCTTCTTTTTTTTTTTTTTGTGTGCAGAATTTGATGCTCCCTCTCATTAATTTTAGTAAATTTAATTTTTGATTTTGCGTGTTTAAATTTAGTTGTCTACTATTTATTTTTAGCATGTCATTTAGTGTATTGAAAATGTTATAGTTACGATATTATGTGACATTATATACTTACAACATAATGTGTCGTTATATAATTAATTTTTCTTATTCAGGGATCCATTTGTAATATTATATGTATGTATTCATTTAATACCATATCATACTAATTTAATTATAAACTTACAATATTACATGGTATTATAATTATAATATTGTCATTAATATATTTATTTATATTTTATTCTCCTTTTAAAACGAATAATTATAACATATATGAATTTTACAAAAAGACTTATTTAAATAGTGATTAATAGGGATTAATATAAATTTTACATCAATTAAGTAGTACATTATAAGACAAAAAAACCTAAGCCAAGTTGAAATGAGGGAGTTTATAACTCCAGTTATGAGTCAAATATATTTAACATATCGAAAGATATTATTTCTTTCATTAATCTTACAAAACCTTATGTGAAACCAGGCTTTAGTTAAGGCCACTCTTAAATTTGTTTGTTACTTAAATTGTCAAAATTTTATCTTAATTTGATTGTTAAAAATAATTAATAATTGATAAAAATAGTTAATATTTATTAGGACAGCGATACATACACCCATAAACCGACACTCATTTTTACACCCAAATTGGTTTAAACAGTAAAATTACAAATTTACCCTTCTCACTGAATCTATTTCCCAACAACCAAATCCCAGCAAAATTCAAGCACATTCAACAAAACTCAAGCATTCAAGCACATTCAACAACCAAATCCCAGCAAAATTCAAGCATTCAAGCACACTCAACAACA